GCTTGGTTCTTTTCTTGCAAACGTTTCATTACCCGGCTAGGTAACATCCTCAGTGCTAAAAAGGGATGGGGTTTGCTCTCTATTTATGTGCTGTGGCCTGCCTTGCCAGGGCTGGTGGGGGTGGGGGGTTTGTTTTGCTCCTCTGGTAGTTCCTTGATTAGCATATGTTTGCTGCTTGATACATAATTGTGACACTGATTTGTGCTGTTTTTTAAATCTCACATGTTACCTTTGTATTTTATCTTTCTGCCAAGGTACACAGAGTAATATACTACAACCCAATCTTAGATATATTTGGAAGTAAAAGCCATTTAATTCAATTTGGCTACGTCTCAAGTGAGTATGTAGAGGGCTTTCAGGTTCAGAATAACCTATTAGATAGGTTCAGCGGGTTTATCTCACATGGTAATATTTATTAGAGAAGCATAAAACATTTATAATGCCTTCTAGCAGATAGAAATATGATAAATACATACAGACAGACAGACATAAAATTTCCTGAGTTCAGGAAATAAAGGAGAGAAAAGAGAAGAAATCCGACAGACAGACACACACACACACACACACGCACACACACACACATATTAAATAGCTTCCAAACTAACATTGGGCTGGCAAAATTGCAGCAGCACAAAAATTTAATACATGTTTAAGTTTGAATATCTCATAGCCCAACCCAACAACAATAATTAATTACATTCACCTCTTACAAACAGTTCTGTGAAAGATTTCTCTTCGCCAATCACACACTGATATGCTGCATCATCAGCCAGTGAGCAGTGGTTGATGGTCAGGATCCTCTTATTTCCCAGAGACTCAAAAATATATCTAGAGAAATGCAAATGGAATAAAAAAACCTTAGCACAAAACAGATACCGCCTAGGTCCCTGGGAGTTTTTGATTAGCGATGTGCACATACACATACTCTATACGGTACATAGAGAAAAAAGATAGTTACAAAGAATGTAGAAAAAAGAAGGAACGGTTATAATTTAAAAAGAAAAAGAAAATGCAGTGATATTGATGGAAATAAAAATTCTTGGAAGTGGGTGAAAACGGTTAAAGAAGAAGCCTTCACCAGAGTGTCTGGAATTAAAAATAAAAGTGATGAAATAATTTGGGATTAAACTGAAGTGAAGAAATGCTTAGTAGGAGTGTTTTAGAGATTTGTATGGGAATGGTAGTGATAGGTCAAAGAATAGAACTGAAATGAATGCTATAAATGTTAGTGTTCAAGAAAAAAGTGATGAAAAGAAAGTTATACAAGCTGTGAAATCCTTGAAAAATGGTAAGGCCACAGGTATAGAGGTATAATTGGAGAAATATTAAAATAAGTATGTAGTTTACATATAGAGTGATAGTATGACTTGTTTAACATGTGCGTTAAGACTTATCTGTGTCTGATGATTGGAAGAAAATTGTTATTGTTTCCTAACCCAAAGTGAAAGTTGGTGTGGAAACTAGTTCTCACATGGTCAAAAGCAAACAAGAGCTATATGAATGCAGAAAAGAAAGCTTATTGCAATTTAGAGAAAGCAAACATAATACAATAGCTTGAATGATGGAATATTTTGTGTGAATATGACCTTGATGGTTGATTGCTGAATGCAGTAAGTGTGTATGTGTATGTGTATGTGTATGTGTATGTGTATGTGTATGTGTATGTGTATGTGTATGTGTATGTGTATGTG